TACTAGACAACAGTGAATGAGTACGTTTCATAAATATTTGGAGTTACTAGATAACCCCCCTTGCTTTTACTTATTTAATTTGAATATCTTTAGTGTCCTCCCAAAATCGGCATAACTTCCCCAGTTTGTGGCATAGTGATTAGGGTTCTATGCTGTGATCAGAAAGTCTTAAGGTTCAAACCCATGATATACTGCCATACACACTCCTCACTTGGAGCTGTGGGCATGTTATAGAAGTGACAGTCAATCCTCCTGTTTCATATTGTGGTCTGGTGAATGCTTTCTCTGTTTCTGGTCAACAGTTTAAAAATTAGGGATGGCTGTGCCTGAATCTTTGGGTCTCTGACCTGACCCTTTAGCCCACATCTGTTGCATGAGGTGCCATTTTAAGTGAAATTACAAAATTTGGCTAATATTCTAATAAATTAAAACTTTAATTTCAATTCATTGTATATAACTTCATTTAAAAGGTTTTTAACTTAGCTTACTTCATACTAGTCACAAAAATATGGTTTCAGTTTTATTTTCTCAGCATGTGAAAATAATTTTGTAGCGTTACTGCCGTGATGGAAATTTCTTTGTTATTATAGAAAACAGGACCTGGTGGGACATAGTTGTTAGTATTCCTAAATAAATAATTTACGGTTCACGACCCACTGCCTCAAAGACACGCTTCATACCCATGGGTCGGGGGTATCTTGTAGGAGTGATGAAGAAATACCACTCTTTGAGCAGATAAGAGTTTGTAGCAGATACTTGATATAGTCCTTGTGTAACTGGAAACAATTTTGAAACCAAATTGATGTTTACCAGTGACCCACTTATTTCTGAAGTTTGGGTTGACTCCTTATCCTTCATTTAACTGCTACTGCATTTATATATATATATATATATATTTAGAAGTTGAAGTGCAAAGTGTATTACGTGAACAAGTAATACGAGCATTATTCATGGAATTACAAGTATATATGTATATATACACATTTACTAGTAGATGAACATTTTTAAAAATATCCCAGTCAGTATCAATGGGTTCATAAAGAAAAATTATTAGATCAATTTAGAACTAAAATTTAACCTTGCTACCCAAGTAGATCATGTCTAACTAAGCTGATCAACATCTATGATGTAAATATTAACAGATTATTGTTTGTTTTTGAATTTCGCGCAAAGCTACACGAGGGCTATCTGCGCTAGCCGTCCCTAATTTAGCAGTGTAAGACTAGAGGGAAGGCAGCTAGTCATCACCACCCACCGCCAACTCTTGGGCTACTCTTTTACCAACGAAAAACTAAATTATCTCAACATTTCGGTAAATCTTAATATTGATCTTACTAAGAAACTTGAACAGAAGTGTAAAAATATATTGGACCAGACTGAGAAAAATAATCAAGTACACAGATTTAATCTTTTTGCCAGTCGTCGTCATAAATCAGAAATTTTCGAGTTACCCAAAGAACATAAGTACAATTTTGACAAATATAATTAATTCTAATCATGTTTCGCCAGCTTGTTATAACAATTGCTGAGAGAAAGGTATCGTTATTTTGAGAACTAAAGTTATTCAACATTTCATTTCACGTAATGAAATCAGCTGTAGGAGTTGTTTTTGCAATAGTTACATGAGATTTGGTGAGAACACTTTTAAACAGGTTATTGGGGCTACTAAGGTTACATAATCATGGGGTTTTTATTGTTGTCGTTGCATTGTTTCATGGACGACCTTGAACAAAATGCACTTATGAGAAAGGAAATAAAATGCAACTTCAAAACTAGATGTTTGGTATAGGTTTGTGGATAAAATCTTTGGCATTCGGAACTATGAATTAAACTCTCTCATACAAAGCTTTTAGTTTATTACATTCACTCTATAACATTGACAGACACAATCCAACAACTTCTGTTTCTGGATTTATGAATCTTACTGTTGCGTCAGCGAGGTCACGTGACTAGAATCACGCCACGTCTTTCTAGAAATATCCTGTTCCTTCATGAATGCCCTAGCATTTACTTGATATGTGTTAGTATTGTATATATAAGAGGTCACAACGTGACGGGACAACAGTGTAATAAGTAATTGAATGTATGCGGACAGAATATTGTTAGCCACGTGAGACGTTCGTTGAGAATTATAGCGTTTGTTATAGAGCGACTGTTGAAATTAAGTATATCGTAAAGTTATATTCAGAAAGAATAAATCAGTTTTATTTAAGAAAGGACTTATGTCGCTAAAGTTTCGTCGGAACGAATTTACGGGAAATTAACTAACGAACGGAGACGTAACATTACACTGTCCATCGATAATGGACAGTTGAAAACTAACATTTATAACACATTATGGCTAAACCCATTTATTTGAATTTCAAGTCTCATAATCCATTTCGTATATAAAAAAAGGATGTTTGATTTTTGCGGAAATGCTTTATACTTGAGTACAAATGTATAGTTATTCAGAATGTAAAAGACATACTGCAAGTTAACTATTATCCTGCCACCTTCATTCATAAAATCATTAGATAACTTGAGCAAAAACGAAGTAATAGCTCCGTGTATCATGTCTCAAATTGGTTAAAACGAGATGGGTTGTTCCATATACTAACAAACAAAAGAGAGCCAGAAAACGGAGTGACGTCACTCAAAACTGTACAGAAGTCCGGCAAATCTTTGAAATCTATTCTCAGCAAATTTGCTTTAATACCAAATATCTGACTTTATTATTTGTTTGTTTAAGCTATGCACAAAGCTACACAATGGACTATCTGTGCTCCGCCCACCACGAGTATCGAAACCATGTTTCTAGCATTGTAAGTCCGCAGACATACCGCTGTGCCACTGGGGGCATCTGACTTTATAACATGTAAAATAGAATTATATCATGCCACATCAATGGTGTATATTCACTGGTATGAACAATTTATAACAAGATGCATAATGGTGCAACATCCAACTGACTGAGATTGGGAAGAACAACACTAGGAGAAACACAAGACCAGAATATTTTTCGGAGAAAAGAATATCAACAAACTGGACCATAGGATTGGTTCAATGTACAAAGTTTTCTAGACAAAAAATATAAAGAGCTTTACTGATTAACCTTTATGGATGATTATTATAAACCTTAAACCATTTTTTCGTTAATATATTACTTTTATTATATATTTTTGTTGGTATAGCTTTTTGTGCATACATAGAATTTAAGTTCGTTGAATTAACAAGATTTGAATATGCAAATTGGAAAGTCTCATAAAACTGAGCCACGGCCAATACAACTGTCTGATGTTTAATAGGTAGTTAAAATTGACCGCTTTTGGAAATAGTATTTAATAGTTCTTTCCAACCCAAAGTATTCATACATTCAGATTATAAAGATACGTTTGGGTCGTGGATTTAGAATTATCAAAACTGGGATATAGCTTGTACTTAATGGCATCGGATAAAAAGGGAATACCGATCAACTTAGGGAATCTGGACCAGCAAGAAATATATCTGTAATAACTCATGCCCCAGCAATGGTTAGCAATGTCTGGCATCACGTAACAGTTGAAAAACCACGAACACAAAGGTCAGAGGCAAAAATCGTCCATGTGTTCCAGGTAGAAGGAAGCAACATAATCACGAAGGATCATTGTCTGTAAAAGCATCACAAGTATCGTGTACATATTTGATTATTCTACATATCCATTCAACCATTGCGTACCTCAAGCAGCTGGAGTATGAAATGGGTGTTTATACTATTCCATTTAAAGACATACCAGTCAAGTCACTGGATGCAGCATCTATGAAATTCTGTGTGATCAGAGTGTTGTTTGTTTATTTTGCACAAAAGGTACCTGCAATAATTGTCCCTAATTTTGAAATTATAGACTAGAGAGCAGGAGTGTTGAAATGGGCACTTGGAAATTGTCATCTTGGATTGCTTATGGAAAGTCAGCAGAAAGGAATAGTATGTTTCGGACATGACAGCCTTATGGCTTAGCTTTTTATAATAGAAACTAGCATTGCCTCACTATTTTTAAATTATATACTTGTCAGATACAATATGATCTGATGTGGTGACACTGCCTGTAACAAGATGGTGAGGCTCCAAAATCTTTTAATACACCATTCTCAACCTTCTCTCTCTATCTCTTTTTCTTCTCTCCCTATCTCTGTATGTGTATGTGAATGTGCGTGTCTGTGTGCATGTGTACATATCTTTATAGATTATTTTAATGAAGCTAATTTTACATGGAATTACATTTTCCGCTTTCATATTTTCATATCTGTTTATGAAGTTAATAACTTTACAATCTTTAGAAGAACGAGGTACACTGTTAAATTGCTATTGTTGTGGGCATGATAAATCAACATTATTTACACTGAATGTTAAACGCTTCTTCTAGTTTTTAACCTAACTTTGTACGCTACCAATTATTGTAAGCTATATTTTAATGTTATAATCTATTTTTTTTAGCAAGAGAGACCTACGGATTTTTGATGATGTAATGTGACATTATGTTCTATTTAGTCCTAGAAATATCTAGAACACGGGTAAATTATAAATGTACGACGTTCCGTGAAGCGTCAAGAGAATTGAAATAAAAGAGAGTTATCGCACTACTTTGTAAAGTAGGCCTTGTAAACGTAGGCCTAAATAATTTACGACAGTTTAAAAGTGGTTTAAAACTTGAAGAAATGTTTGAAGGAGGAAATAAACCGATTTCATCTCGTTAAATAGTCTGAACGTTGAATTACGTTCAACTGATAACTTAAAAGGCCTTGCAAAGAAAGAACGGTTTAATAACAATGTATAGATTGTGTCACCAATAAAGCTCTTAAGTGATTTTCAATGAAGACAAACAACTTCAGATAAATGTTTATTTATTCTACCCGACATTTCGGCTTACACCTTTTCAGGGTGATTTGACTGGTTTTTAAGCGCAAAGCTGCATAATGGAATATTTTTGCTGTACAGTGGGTATCGAACTCCAATTTGTAATGTTAAAATACTTCAAGCTTATCGCTGAGCCACTGATGGGCAATATCGGGCGAAATACTGGATAGTAGTAAATAAATTAATTTATTGGGATAAAACAAGTACTTTTTTTTAAAAGACAGAATATTATAATAACGTACTCTTTGCACGCAGCACGTTTATTCTAATTTTTTAACGTAACCAGATCCACCTTTATACGTTACTCTGTGTATATTGTTACCTCAGGCACAACTTTGATAGAAATAAATAAATGTTAAAAAAAAGAAATTCTAAAGTAATATCAGATTGTTCTGTGTGGTTAGAATAATGCACTTGTAGTTTTTATTTAACACTAAAATTTTTTATAAATGAAAGAAATATGCATATGTTTTCAAGGTTTAAGGAAATGAACCTTACAATAAAACACGTGACAGCATATGTTTAATGAAAAAAAAAGGAACAAAATTTAGAATAATTACAACAGATAAGTGACGTCATGAAGTTTTTCAGTATGGCAGCGAAGTTTGAGATTAGTGTTCGAAGTTTTGTCGGATTCTTTGCCTTCACAACGCTTTTGTTTACATATTTTAAGGTTTGCTTTTGTAAATTTCTAGTAATCTTGATTTACTGATGAAATCTGAGGATAAAGTTTTTGTAATTTCTGTTCTCTAGTCTATATAATCATGAATCACGACAGTATTACTATTAGTATTACACAGTATTAGTATTGGATAATGTAACTATCCTATTAAAGTATTACTATTATAGTATTATTGCAAATTAAGTACTAAAATAATGGCAAAAAAGTGGTGACATATAATAAAACTTAAATTAAAGGTCAAGGAAATTATAACTTATGTAATAAAGTTTACTTTAAAGTTTAATCCAAGGCTTGCATAGTTATATATATTATTCTTATTCTGGACAGGAACCTGAGCAAGTCTTGTAGGATTCGTTAAATGTTTATTAGTTTGATAAATGTGATGGTAATAATGCAATTTGCCATTAATACTGAAATCACGTGTGAAATTTTTAAATATTGTAATGGTTGTAAGTTCTTGGAAATACAAGACTGGTGACATATACAACAATACATATTTTAGACCATGTTTTTTTTTTCACAGATCCTTTTGTGTTACATTATATAGAAACCACACTGTCATTTGTGTTGTTGAATAGTTCCTCAAGGATACAAAACTCTTGTAAAATCTTTAGAGTGACTGGAAAAGTAGTAGCAAACAATTGTAAACTGAAAAATAGTTTCAAAGTAACATTTTATAGCAATTTTATATCTAACACAAGAGAAATTGTAAGAAATAGTGCTTACCGTTTACATTTTTGGAATTGTGTGTCCTATATGTAGTAAGTGCAACAGTCAGAGTTATTTTATAAACTCACCGCAATGGCTCTTACCCAGTGTTCTTATCCAGCAGTTAGTGAATGACAGAAAATGATACTTGTAAAGTTTATGTATAAAATGGTATAATCCAAAGTCATTCTCTTTATATTTTTAGGCTCTGGTTTTAGTTTCATAAGATGGTGTTTCCATTTGCTTAAAAGTGAAATATTTATGTGACCAACAGTTTAAGACCTGTGTATATTTAGATACTAAGAAAAAATATAGCAGCTGTAAGATCAGATTGGTGCATGTAGTTTTTACACTCACTGTACTTTGTGTTATATCTGGTGTGGACATTTTAAAATTAAAAACATAAGTTTTGTTTATCTTAGAATGTAAAGACAGTATAGGTGATGGGAAGTACAGGACTCAAATAGTTTTCTATGAGTAACCAGTATTTTTATTAGATTTATAAAACAATTGGGTTTAAATAATTTTATAAAATAAACTTGTATAGCTAAAATTTCTTCCATTTTTCTTGTATTTATATTTTTCAGCTAAATTATTTGTTTTATCATATATTAAGACCTTTTTTTTTATTACAAATCTGTAAACTGAGAGTATATATTATGCTCATCTCAGGGCTGCCACCTTAGATTGAAATAAAGTATCCATGCTTGAAATTAATCTCCCACAAAATATACATATAACTTTTATTCTTACAGTGGAAAGTGTGATAGAATTTTTCTTTGGTCAAAGCGTGTGTCACTGCTTATTTGGTGTGTATGCAATTTTTTGTTTATCAGAATTTTGATTTTAGGGTTGGCTGACATCCATCTTGGTGAATGTAACAGCTGTCACAGGTAGCAGGTATAAAAAGCCTTCTTTCTTTTTTCAGTGTGTTGATATAGCACTGAAAGAGAACTGGTTTTAAATCAAACAAGATGTTGTATTAATTCTAATACTCAGTAAATTGAAATTAACTATATATTCACAATAACTAAACTGGTAATCTACTGAAATTTAAATTGGGGTGTGGCTGACACAAATATATTCGGGTAATTAACTCAATAAATGAATATAATTTATTACCCGTGAGCATCAGTTATATGGTTTACTAATGCATAAAATGATTGATTAATCAAAATTATAAGTAAATCAATTAATGTCACAAAAACTTAATTAGTCAAAATTAGTGTTTACAATTATTAATGTTTTTGACTATTTGAACTATCCAAGTAATTGAAACATTGCCAGTATGATTTCTTATCATTTTCAATTAATTCAACGGTGTTCAGCTTAATTGATTGGTGTTATGTTTCGCATAAATATTAAACTAATTAAAATTCATGTTTCTGATTACTACTATTTTTTGATCATTTCAACTCTCATGTGAGAACAATGGATTAGTTGAAGGTAATTGATTAATGAGCCTGATGATTTATCAGTTAACAAATTCCACTAATCGCCCAGCTCTAGACATGAGAACGCTCCTGTTGGCTCTCCAGTGAAATCTTTGTTATCTTGACTGGGTCTTTTGGTGGGCATTGTGTGCATTTGAGTAAAGATTCTAGTAGCTTGTATCAGAAGTGGCACATATTGATTTGATTAATGAAATATGAATATGATTGAGTATATAACTAAGGTATATTTCTTCAAAGCAAGAAAAACTGATTTTTATAGCTTTGTAATATCTTTTCTGTTTTGAGTAATCATTGAAAAATGAAGTTATTTAATCAGCTAATTTTCTACAAGTGTGTTATATGCTTCTAAATTTTCAGCAGTTCTTGACTGTGATGTGAACTGGAGGTGATTGTATAGATTGAAAACCGAGTGGATGAGAATATCTGTGAACAAGAACCTAAAAACTGTCTTACATCTGCTTGAATTCTAGGTTACCAAAATTAAGATGTGCTAGAATCAAAAGTCTTTTTTACAGTTGTACTGAAGTTTAAATTTGTAAGTTCTTACAGAGTTGAGCAAGTATAACCTTGAAAGTAATCAGTTAATCTCCAATGATAAAACCTCATAAGCTTATGTGCAGATTCATTCTCTCATGGCTACTTTTCTGTATGTTTCACTGTGTTTGAACTAACTGATGTCATTTGATGTTCCAAGATGTTTTGTTTCCTTCTGAACTTCCTTCCCCCTCAATGGTACAGGAGTAAATCTATGAACTAATGATGCTAAAAACCAGGTTTCAATACTTGTGGTGGGCACGGCACAGATAGACCATTGTGTAGCTTTGTTCTTAACTACAAAACCTTCCAAGAGCTAGTGCAGAGCAGCTGTAGAAGAATTAGAAGTTTCTAAATAATACAGTAAAATGCCTTATTTTACTTTGGTGCTAGAGTTTCGGTTTTTCAAGAAATAGTATTTAATATTCTGATCTAAATGGTACCAGCTTTTTATAGTACTTGGTATTGTTCTTCTTCTTGTGATGTAGCAACTTAAGTGTGCTCTAGGGACTGATAATGGCATAGACTTAGCCTACAGTTTAATTGTTACTTGGCTGGTAAGTTCTTTTCTCAACTGGGTAGAAATATTTGACATTTTTATGGCTGGGAATAATATGGCACGACAATGTAACTAAAGTTTTACTGATAAAATTAACGAGGTTAAAAAAGTCAGAACAGTATGCAGTGCTGTTAAAAGGAAAAACAATAGATAAATTAACTTGTTTTACATATGTTTAACCCAAATTGTTAGTTTGCGTTATTTCACGGTCACAAACAAATTTTCTAATTACTCTTTGTTGTTCTTACTTTCTTAGGAAGTTTCTGGTGCAAGCTACAGGTATGGTGTTCTTACTGCTGAGTCGTCTTCAGGAAGTGAAGATTTCTGTATTGTATACTTTCAAGACTTTTCTTCTTTACCATCTGTCAAAAGGAAGGAAGTAAGTGTGACTTCTTTAGATGAATAATAGTATATTATATTTTCAGTAAATGACCATTCAGCCTTTCGGAACGTCCTCCATGTCTGAATGTATATTTGTTTGAGTGAATAGCACTGAATATTTATGTTAGTTTGTTCGGTACTTCAACTGCTTTCAGTAACATTATATACAAGATTTGGCTAAAAATATGGACTGGATCTTGAGTACTGAGCATTTACTAAAAAATCTCTTCCTGAGTGTGATGCAGTTTTAGTTTATTTTAGAAAAAGCTGTAATTCAAGTAGAATCAAATATAACAACGTATTTAGTTTGTAAAGTTGATAATTATTATAAAAATACTTTGATGTTAGCCTTACTTTGAAAAGACAGTTCCAATAATTTATAATAAATGTGTATTAATCAGTGTCATCTTCTAAGTTTTCACACCACCAGCTATTAAGTGTTTTGATACACTATGGTGTACCTGCTTCAAGAAAAAAATATTCCAAAAAGATACTGAAATAAATTAGTATAGCTATTTTTAATGAGTTGTAATAGCTGTTGAGAGAGAGTTTTTTTGTATGTGTTATTTATAGGAAACAAGTCGTTGAATTATCAAAAAATTATTACATGTTTCAGCTAAGATTGACAAACGGGTCTATGAAAATATATTCAACACAATATTTTGTCAAGATTGAATATACTGTTTAATAGATGTTTAAACAGTGTTTATTTTTAAAGAAGAATAGACAGTTTCTCAGGAACTCATTTAATGGAGATGGGAAATAATTTCTTTATATTTTCAGGACTTTAGATCACTTCTGGATCAGTCTGACTCAGAATTTTGTGATACGCCACCACCTGAGCCTCACCCAAGTTTCGAAGAAAAAATAGTGCAAGTTGAAAACAGCAACTGTAGTGTAGTATCTCAGGCTGAGGTGGTACATCAGCTGAATGGAGCTGGATTACTGGTAACCACCTCTGTGGACTTTGTGGTACGTTCTCTGTTGTGTTGCATAAAAATCTAAAACATTTTATAATATTATTTTGGGTTTGCACTTGCAGTCTATAATTACTTACTAGTGGGTGTAAATTATAATTTATCATTTGTATATTTGTCCACACTTATTAAAGTTGTATGTTACCTTAAGTATAAGAATATTACACTCATAAAATCAAAATCCAACACTGTCATCATGATAGACTTACATATATGTACTCCAGAAGGAGAAAGAGACAAGCATTACATGATAAAATAATAGTATATGTTCACTTGAATATTCACTCATGTTTCAGGTTAAAATATACTTCATTCATTTTCTTCAAACTTGGTAACTTGTGTGTAAAATATATATATAAGCAAGATATATGTATATTTGGGAAAGTACAAATAAGGCAATGTACTTCATACTTTCAAGAAACCTGCCAGTTGAAAGGTCTGGTATATGTGTATTTTTAGTTATTATAATTTTTTAGCTGATGAAGGATTTTGAAAATTTGGAAAACCTACTGAAGAAAAAAAAAACTGGTATTAAAAATGATGTCATTGAAAATTGATTTGTGAATTATAATATCAGAGGAAGAAATGAAAACACTTTAAATTATAAACTTTTCTTTCAGAATGATGTAAAGGTAAACAGTTCTTTAGCTCATGACATCAACATTACGGTGGCCTTAATTTCTCACAGTTCTGCTCGTCGACTGAAGGTAAGTGTACAGATCTACTAAAATATTCTATATTCATGAGGTCAGTAAAACACGTAGGTTCAAGAAGTCTTGATACAAAATGATAAAAATCCTATAACCCGAGAGTTTTCGAAAGTTGAACCTTTTTTATTTCAGAAAGCTAGTTTGGCCCTGAAATAAAAAAGGTCCAACTTTTGAAAGCACTTGGGTTATAGGGTTTTTATCATTTTAACTTACTCTATAGTCATGAATGTGTTTAATCCTTTTATTGCCAACAAGGTGTGAGATCAATATGAAATGACACTTACTGTGAATTTTGTTTTCATGATATGTATACGAATACAACAATTATCAAATGCTTACAAGTACATTGATTCAGTTATTTAAAAATGCCTGTCTAGGAATTGTTATTTGATGGGAGGCCAAAGAAATTAGAAAAAAATTAGATTACGACAGATTTCTTTCAAAAATTCTAAACCCTGTGTGGGACCATGGGTATTTATACAGAGAAATACAAGTTTTAAGTTCTTAATTCTATAAGGCAATATTTAAAAAAAAATCCTGAATTTCCCTAAGTGTGCCACACATGACACATTTTCTCTAGGTATCTTCTCCTTTCTATATTATCCACCACTTCTCCAAAATGTACAAAATTAAATGTAAATTACTCACTATAAAATCATCATTGCTCAGACAAACCATAATTTTTATAGTCTTCAATTTTGTTTGGTTAC